TGCTGTACAGAAGCTTTTCAGCTTGATAAAGTCCCACTTGTTCATTTTTGCTTCTGTTTCCCTTGCCCGGGGAGATATGTTCATGAAGAAATCGCTCATGTTTATGTCCAAGAGATTTTTGCTTATGTTTTTTTCTTCTCCCAGTCTTTTTATCGTCGTCTTTCACAGAGCCAAAGGTTTTTATTTTGAGGAGGTTTAATTTATCAGTTTTTCCTTTTATAAATCATGTTATTAGTGTCAAACCTAGCACAAGGTCCTGAAGAATTTTCTCCTATTTTTTTTCTGAAAGTTTCATGGTTTTACATTTAAGTCTATATTTCATTCTGACTTAATTATTGTATAAACTGTGAGACTTAGTTTGAGGGTTTTTTATTTTTGTTTTTTTTTGCCTATGGATGTTCAATTATTTCAAGACCATTTGTTGAAATGTCTATATCTTTCCTCCATTGAGTTTCTTTTACATCTTTGCCAAAATTAAACTGGGCACACTTTTGAAAAATCTATTATGTGCTAAACCCTGGATTGTCTTCTTTACTAAGTTTTTTTTCTCCTTTTCACAAAAACCTGCAAAATAGTTGTTTAGCATCTGTTCTGTGCTAAGCACTGTGCTAAGCTCAGGGAATTAAGAGATGAATAAGACTTTCTGGAAAGCTCCGCAGAGGAAAAGACAAAAGCTAGACCCCTGGGAAGGAGCACAAGTCTGCAAAGAATGGGGGATGGGGGCAGTGAGAACACTCCGGATAGAAGGAAAAGTATGTAAAAAGGAAGCAGCAGTATTTTGTTTTGGCTAAAAGGAGGGGAGCATAAGGGAATTTTCTTGTGTTGAGTTAAAGATATCTATGGATATTTCAATGGAAATGACCACCAGACATTGGCTGCATGAGTCTGGAGTTCAGGAGAGAGATTTGGGCTGGACGATATTAAGCTTTGGGAATTGTCATAGCACATTGATATTAGCCAGGGAGAAATTTAAATTAGAGTTAAAAGGAAAGAGGGCCAAGGAAACGTTGGAAACAATTGAACATTTAAGTGGTAAAAGAACTGAGAATAAACAGTTAAAGTAGGAAGAGATAGGAGAGTGGTATGACAAAAACCAACAGAGATAAGAAATTCTGGCTTTTGCTTTTCTGTTACCGGTAACATTTAGCATAAAAAAATCTATAAAGATATGTGTTTCACAAAACTATTTTAAAAGAGTGTTTGGACTGTAATGGTGTATGTGCTGGGGACTTGATAATGGAGGGAGGTTAGTAACTATAATGTTGCTCATGTAATTGTACATTAATGATACCAAAAAAAAAAAGTGAACTGGAGTTTTCATCAAATGCAGTATTTAAAAAGTTAAATATAAACATGTTAATTGCTATTATGGAGTTTGACAATCAAGTAGTTTGATAATGGTGATAATATATTGCTATAAACATTTAAAAAATTGAAGGAAAAATTCAAATAGGTTGAGTATTAAGAAAGCAAAAAAGTAGATAAGGAAATTCTTCTAGTTATTAATGCAAACCAACTTTCACCTGAACATCCTCGAAGTAATTTGGATTTCCACTTTAAACTCAGGAGCTGGTGAATATACACATGTTAAAAAACAACAAAAACCCCTCATTTTTACATAGCGCCCTTAAACGCACAAAATGCCCCTATAATGGGTTGAACAGTGTTCCCCCCAAATTTGTGATCATCCTGTTTTGGAAATAAGTTAAGGATCTCGAGATGAAATTATCCTGGATTTAGGGTGGACCTTAAATCCACCAACTGGTCTTTATAAGAGAAAGGAGAGGAAGATTTGGACACAGAGAAGTGCATGGGCAGGTGGCAATGTGAAGAGGCCGGGATTGGAATGAAGTGACTACAAACCAAGGGACAAAAAGGACTGCTGACAACCAGAATCTTTTCTAGAAGCTGGGACAGAGGCATGGGATGGTCTCTTTATCAAGCCACCAGAGGAATAACCCTGCTGACACCTTGATGTCAGACCTCTGATGTCAGAGAATACATTTCTGTTGTTTTAAACCACCCAGTTTTGGTTTAAATTTGTTATAGCAGCCTGAGCACCTTAATACTGCCCTATCCCTCACCATCTTCCCAGGTTCCCAAAGGTATCATTAAATAAGTAATTTTTAAATATTTATAAACAATATCATAAATTTTTATCACTGGCACTTATTTTTTTGGAGAGGGCAATATCCACAAAGTCATGCTAAGAGTCAGTTTTTTTGGATACAGCAATTCTAAGTGCAAACTAGTTTTACTTAAAGAAATGGCCAATTATTTAATTTAGTGCTGGCTGCTTAATGTAATTTCTCCTCACTCCTCTTCCAATTAATATTGATTAGTGTATGTTCATTGAGTTGGTTTCCTAAAATCAAACTCAATATTGATAGGGAGAAAAAGGTTGAGATGGAGGTTAGTGATGGTTGCCTTAAAACCTGTCACATGTCTGCATTATTAAAGATCCCTGGAGTCTGAGAAATACTATCTTATTGGTGTTGTTTATTTTCCTAATAATTACTTATGAAAGGGAAGTGTGAAAGCATAAACTGTTGGTAACTGTTTAACATAATAGCCACAATGAAAACATATTCAATTGACCTGTTCTCTGGCCTGGTTTTAGTTAGATGCAGGGTTTTCATAACATGTTGCCTTTGGACTTCAGTTTTTGATCACATATGTTTTCAGGCTCAGTCTACATTTTGAATTTTGGCTATTGGGCATCTCTATGGTTTGAGGCTTCAAAGCTGACCCTAATGGTGGGATACTCTTCTAAAGATTTCATCTTTTTTTTGCTTTTGATAAATTAGAACTCTAAATATTATATACCATCTTTGAACATTTGTGGGAGCAAAGTCTCCGACTTCAGAGGGTTTACATTTTTATGGCATTCTAATTAAAAATATATTTATAATTATTTTAAATTAAGGCATCCAATTATAAAACAATTTGTAATGAAAAGTTCCATATATGTGAGAGGTACTTTTCTAAATGGGGATTAGAGTGGGAGAAAGGAAGAGGGAGTGTTATCAAAATGAGAGGGATGCTATCAAAATAAACAAGGCCCTTAGAACCTATTGGGGATATAAAGTCTTTGAAAAACTTTCAAATAAGACAGTGTCTAAGATTTAGAAGCAACTAACTTAAAAGCAAACTGTTGAACTTAATCCAATTTTCTTTGGCCACTCTTGTGAATGTATTGTAATTACTATGTACAAACTGAAGGCCTAAAACAGGACCTTCCAAATGCCAAATGTTTTCATCTGGAGCAATGGCACCCAAATTATGTTGGACAAATGAGCAGAATGAGTTTTAGAAAATTTCCATGTAATTACTATTTAAAAGAAAAAGTCAAAAGCAGTATGACATCCTTGGATTTATTCTCATGTGATATAATCATAAATCAGCCAAATTAAATAATCCATTGAGCATTTATTTAAGCCAGGGTTTCTCAGTCTTAGGCCTACTGACGTTTGGGCCAGATAATTCTTTGTTGTAAGGGACTGCTCTGTGTAATGTAGGGTGTTTAGCAGCATCTCCGGCCTCTACCCATTACAGGCCTGCCCTTTCCAGATGTAACAACCAAAATGTCTCCAGACACCTGGGAGAAAATTGTCCCCAGATGGGAACCACTGATTTTGAAGTCTTGAAAGAGAAAAGAAAACCACACACACACACACACACACACACACACACACACGTTTTAAAACAAGAGCTTAGGTTTTTTTCTTCCAGTTTTATTGAGATACAATTGATGTATAGCACTCCAAATATTTAAGGTGTACAGCATAATGATTGGACTTTAAGACAATCTGTTGTGAAAGTTTACTTTTAATCCTTACCAATTACTCCTGCCTGTTGTACTTGTAGTACCTTGAATCTGTCTCTATGGTTGCACTTACCATGGTTCATCATTATTTTAAAACATGGGGCTTGTCTCCTTTTCTCTCTGTGAACTCTTCCAGGACAGGGCTCTACCTTATCTGGATGGCAGTGGGAGTCTATTAGTTGAATGACCTTTAGTGCTGGCTAAACACTAGAAATGTTCTTAAAGTAAGGGTTTCTCGGCAGTTCATTTCTTTTTAAGGATATGGAATATCTGTTTTGCCTTTTGCCTCTTGGATTCATAATTCTTCTCTACTCATTTTAAATATTTCAATTAAAGAACAGTGGCGACACTAACACTTCATGCTGATTCAACTTTGGGTAAGTGAACCAACCATTTTCGTACTCCGTATTTCATTCTTCCTTCTTTTAATCAGAAGACACCTGCAGACTAAGTAACAGAACTATGTGCAAAGAACAACTAGGTCATTACGTTTTGGAGTCCTTTAATGGTTTTGCCAAAATCAGCCTAGACCTATTTTGGACACTTAACGTCCACCAAGGGCGCCCTCCAGTCGCTGGATAGCAACACTGAGAGATGCACGCAGCTTTTTCTGCGCCGGCGGTTGGAAGACAAGTACGTAGATATTGTTAATTTTCGAGGCTTGACTTAGTTTCCGAGGAATTTAACTCCACCTCTCCCGTCAGAAAGGAAAAGCAACGCCCCCAATCCCGCCCTTCACCACTCCCTGGCCTCTCCCACTTTCCTTTTGGTCTCCTTCTGTTACAGAAGTTCTGATTTTTTCCTGGAAAGCTAGAGGAAAGTCAGGTACCAGAAGGGGAATTATATTATCTTCTCATTTGTTCCGGTGGGACACGAGAGAGAAAATGACACTTTCTAACCGGCTCTCCGTGGGGAGAGGACATCTGTATGTAGCCGGGAAAGCCTAAGTGCCCGCTTTCGGCTCCAGGTTTGATTGACAAGGTCGGGCGTCACCAAAGCGCGGAGGCGGGGCGCGGGGGCCGCGGGGGCCGCGGGTAGAGCTCGAGACAAAGAGGTTTTGGCTGCCACGGTGAGAGCAAAGAACTTTGGGGTNGCTGTGCTGCGGTCACGTGGCCGCTGGCGGCGGTGGATTGGGGCTGTTCTTCCGGGTTGGAGGCTCAGCGCCGGGGCCCCCTCCCGGGTCTGCCAGCGCGGCGTACCCCTGCGCGCCGTCCGCGGCTGCGGGCCTCCCCCCAAGGTGAGCGACGCGGCGCGGCCATTGCGGCGTGCTCCTGGGGCGCTGCCGGGAAGGGGACGCTGCTGGGGACGGACCCCCACAGGGAGCGACACCTGTCAAAGAGAAGGGGGCGGGGTCGGCAGTGACCTGACGCGGGGGTACCCGGGCGCGCGCTGGTCCCAGGTTGGGGCCGGGAAGCAGGAGAACCGTGCCTCGAGGCCCCCCTTTTTTTGTCTCCTGCTGGAGGCAGTGGGCGAGTGAATTCGGGAAGTGGGTCCTGGCAGAGTACAGGGAACGCCGAGGCAGCCGTGCTGGTGCAAGTTTTGGGGTTTGTGGAGTGGCGGGACTTGTACGAGGTCATTTTGGCCCGTAAGATGGGAGGAGGGAGGGAGGTCATAGAGGACTCTGGATGGCGGGGTAGTGCACCCAGAGAGGTGGCAGCTGGACGCCCCGAAATTGTGCTTGAATCTTGAGGAAATAATGGGTGGGTGTACGGCTGGAGACTTAGGAGCTGAGAAGCGAAAAGTTGTGAGTGTAGATCCGGGAGGGCTGCTGGTGACTGCGGCAAGCTTCGACCTGCGGATAATGGGGCGTCGGCTGGCGGCCGAGGAGAGAGCGGAGGGGGCAGAGCTGATTGGAACCCCTTAGGCGGAATTGGTATTCCGCAGCCTCGGCCAATAGCCTGCGGGGTAAGGTTATAAATAGCGGTCCCGGGCAGATGCTAGCGAGTTGGCATCTTAGTTGCCGAGGGAGGGGCGGTACCGGTGGGTTTGGGCGAGGTCACGCTGCCTGCCAGTCTAAGCTTCTGTAGGGTATTGTGTCCTTGATTGGTATGTCCGGCTTTAAAGCATGACTTGTTTACGGTTGCAAGCGTCCTTTATTCGCCCTGCAATGCAGGACAGTTTTTAAGGGATCTGTTTGTAAAGAGTCTTGTAGGACAGGCTCTAAACGGGTCCTTGGGGCTTGCTTGCTTACTTTTATTTAAAATGCTCCTCTTCACCGCACCCCTTTTATTTACAAATCTCGGCTGTTTTTTCTTTCTTTTTTTTTAATTGAATGGACAGTTTAGGATTACTTTCTTGACCAGCGAATGTGCTCAAGCTGCTCACCTTTGCTGATGGAATCACTTTTCCACAAGTCTACACACCATTTCATTTTCAAAGGGAATTTCCTGAAGGTCCTTGCAGAATGTGTTCCATAGATACGCAGGTTTCAGTTTACCCAGCCCTAGTTATTCATTCATTCAGTCAAACAGTACTGCTTGATTTCCTGTATTTTGTGCAAAGCACAGGAATAGCAATGTTGTGTCCTTTTAATCCTCACAACAACCCTGTAAGGCTGGTGCTATTATTATTTCTATTTTAATAATCAGGAAATCAGGTACAGAGAAGTGAAGTGACTGATTTGCCCAGCTAATTGTGGAGTGGGGTCTTCCAATCCACAGTTCAACCTGTTAGTTTCTCTGCTATTCTCTCTCAGGAACTTCCTCTCAAGGATTTTAATATCTGTTAGGGGAGTTAGTTACCCAAATAACATAAATTAAATGTCCATATTAAAATAAAGCGCCCCCCTCCCCAATTTTGAGATGTAAAGTTTCCCCTCCATTGCTTCAGAGCAATAGAGGCACAGTGATAACAAAACAGAGACCTTTAAAGTGAAAGGAGAAAATGGTACAAGTAAGACAATACTGTTTTTGGTGTAAACAAGTACTGGCCTGTGATAACATGGCTCAGATATTCTCTGAGTATCTTTCATGGTTGATTCTATTTGATTTTGATTTGGGCTTAGTGATAGGGATTGCTCTTGCCAATAAACTACCTCCTGATCACATCTTGTATGCTCATAGCTTGAATCAAGTGGAATTTGTAGGGGAAATTGGCCTCTGAAGGCTTGACTTTGTTGACATCTGTTGACAGGGATCTGTCCAACATCAGATGGCCATTTTTTGAGTAAATTGAGTAGGTAGAGTACATTTTCCAGATTCCAGGCCATGAACTAGGATGTTAGCTTTGAAGTATTGCAAAATCTCATCTCATTATAAACTTCTAGAGCCTAATGGGGCCCTCCAAACCACCTTTCCTATCCTCCTTTTATAGGTGAGCGGACTGAGGTGCATAGAGATTCAGGTCAAACAGCGAGTGAGTGCCAGGCTTAGACGGTATGTGGACTCTATTTTAGCTAGCTTTGTTCCTTTGCTGATGAAGTCTGGGTAAACCTATCAGCTCCATGAGAATGGTGGTGGTTAGGATGATGTGAGAAGAGAAACTAGGGTAAGTGTGGAGGTTGGGATAGGACTAGGTCATTGGTGATGGTAGGACAAAATCTCCCTCAAGACAAGAATTATCTTTTATGTGTCTTTGTAGTTCCCTTGGTTCAGTGAATGTTTCGAATGTGTGGCTGAATTTCGAACTTATTTGCTCTCCATTCTCAGCCATAAATAATGCTACAAGTGGCCCATGAATAAACGAGGAGAGTGTTTATGAGACTCAGGAATGCTTAGGACTGAAATGCAATGACATATATGGAAACACTTTGAAAATATAAAATGTCCTATTCAAATGCGAAGAATTATTCATACTCATTTTTGATTGCATGCCTGAACACATCTTGAACACTCCCTTAGCTTTTTTCATATTACTCTGTCCATCTCAAATGCCTTTCCTTTTCTGAGTCCTGTAGGAGGACATGTTCTCCTTTGATCCCTTGAAGAACTTTGGACTTGCCTTACTCTGCTTGGTAGTGTTATGACTTGTTGACTTTCCTTATCTCCAAGTGTGGGCTTATTCCAGTTTGATTCTGCAGATGCTCCCAACGGCTGGGCCTCTGAGACTCAGCCTCAGTACATATTTATTGAATTAAGGGGCATTTTAAGAATAAGCACCACCTGGATTGAGGATTACCATTCTCAGTGTTGCTTCCTGATATTTGCCAGAAGTTGCTTCAGGGAGTTGTGTCAGCAGTTCTGAATGAGTTAGGCCCTTCTTCCTCTGGAGGCTGGAAGATTATGGAGTCTGCTGAGAATAGGTGCTGGGCCCCCCAGAGGGCCTGTGATGGGGCAGAGCCTAAAGGCAGAATTGGTGGAGTTAGTTGAACTTGACTGATAGAGTGCCTGGTTTTGTCTGCTTCCCAATTTTTAAGGAAAGAAGGATCGGGGAACATTGGGAATCATGGGGATGGTGGGGTCACCTTCCATATCCCCTTAAGGATCTGCCACTGAGAGCAGTGGAGGTAGCCACTGAACTCTAGGTCAGTGACAGCAAAGGTGCTTTGCAAATGGTGCTTCGCTGAGCCTGGTTAGAGCTGGCAGAAAGTGGCCACTTCTGTGACACCACTGGCAGAGTTCCTGGTTACACCAAAGTCAGCAAGCCCAAACTTGTGAGGTAAAGATTTAAAGATAACCATGGAATTTTTCTGTTTTTTTTTAATTGGAGTCATATACCACACATATTTAACTTCTTGAAATGTGCACTTGGCTCACAGGCAAGTCAGTTTGCATTTTCATGCCATGTCGGTGTGGGGGTCTCACAGCAGGAGCATCTTGCTGCACCTGGTTGCAGTGGGTTGCAGTGTTCTGTAGCACATGGCAGCTAAGCAGGTTACTACTGTACTATATTTTAGAAAATCTCAGGGAAATTCAAGAATAACTTTGGTTATATGCAGTTTTTGCTGGACATGCAGACTTAGAAGATAACTTTCATGGAAGGTGTGACTGGATTTTATGCCATCTTTTTTGGAACTTCCCAGCTACATGAGGGATTGGTTAGACTTATATGATCTAGCCTTAGAATTGGATAGTGAGTTTATAATTACAATTTAAGTGGGAAAGTAGATGCCAACTTTTAAATACCTGAATTGGAAACAGACTTTTGAAGTAGCTTCTGTAAGTACAGGGCATTCAAATAAATTAGCTGTAAATGCTCACATATAAATGTTATCTTCCAAGCTCTTTGGATGAGTATTTTTCTGTTTTTGATGTTTAAAAGACAAAGTATGTTTTTCTCAGCACATAACCCTTTTCTTATCTTTTCTCTTAGTGACTTACTTTCAAGAAAGTTGGGCATTCAGCAAGTTGGGAGCTCACATGAAAACATGGCAAACCTACTGAAAACTGTGGTGACTGGCTGTTCATGTCCTTTACTTAGCAATTTAGGGTCCTGTAAGGTTCTACCTGCAAAGAAGGATTTTTTACGAACCCTTCATACCCATCAGGCGCTGTGGTGTAAAGCCCCCATAAAACCAGGTAAAGTCTTACTTCAATGTATCCAAATTAAACCTTGAAATCATAGGAGCTAATAGATGTCCTGATGATTGATAAAAGGAAAAGTTGAGCAGTCCTACAGCCTGGGGCTTGTGAATGGACATTTTGAATAAAAAAACCTGGTCAGTGCTTTCTTATACTTTCTTACATTTTCCATGTATAGATGTTCCTGATTATCAGTGCTAATAGAGAAGAAAAGCTAATAGAAAAAGAAAAATGATAAACCAGTTGGGTTATATCCAGGAAACTACTGCTCATGGTAACGAATGTTCGTAGCAGCTCTTCCTTGTTCCTCGTCAGTGTTGGGGACTTGTACCGTATATGGGCCATCTAGGCCCAAGAAATCAAGAAGCAGGAACTAAGTGTATTAATTAATCTGCAGTTATGCTGCTCAGTTTAGTAATTGGCAACTTCATGTCATTCAGTTGCTCAGGTCAGCAACTTGGGAGTCATCCTAGATCCTCTTTGTAGGTATAGGTCAGCTCTACCTTGTATGTAGAATCTGTCTTCTCACCTTCACCGTTGCTATCATCTTGGTCCAAGCCACCATAATCTGTCACCTGGACTATTACACTAGTCTTCTAAATGGTCTCTGTGCTTTTTGCCTCTGCCCCTCTGCAGTCTGTTCTGTACATGACAGCGAGAATAATCTTTTTAAAATGGAAGGTCATGTCACAGTTCTACTAAAGATTTGCCACTAACTTCCTAGCTTATCCTGAGTAAGCATGTAAATCTTTCAGTGGCCTACAAGCCCTTCTCTGCTAGGACCCCCACTTGCTTTTGTCCTGGGGCTCAGACCAGAAGCTAAAAAGGCTCTTTTAAACTAAGGCAGATTCCTGTAAGCATCTTGCCTAAAGACCCTCCAACCATTCTGTTTACACCTCATTGGCCAGAACTCAGACAGTGGCCACATGTAGCTGGAAGGGAGACTCAGATACTCAGTCTTTCATTGCAGGTGGCAACATGCTCGACTAAAAATGGGAGGAACAGGGATGGGCATTTGGGGAACAACCAGAAGTCTTTGCCACTCAGAAGAATGCCCTTTTAATTTAAATTTGTAAGACTTTTTATGCATTAAGGGCTCCTTACTGCTAGGCTTACTGCTAGTTTTTTTTGATTTCTTATGTCTGCCTTAAGAAGATTTCACAGCCTTTTGTCCTCACATGACAAGTCACTCTTGGCAGGGCACCTGCCCCTGAGAGCCCTCAACTTTATCTTCAGATTGTTTTTAAGTGTTCTGGGAAACCAGATTATCTAGTGTGATAAAACTGTATAAAAGTAAGTAACTGCATTGAGGACATGAGAATTGTCCTTCTAAGTAAAGGCATGGACTTCAAGGTCTCTTTATTGACTAAGACTTTTTGTTTAATTTCTGATTCTTGATTGTTTCCTAGGTAATTGTTTTGTATCTCTAAATGATGAAGATTCTATTTTTCCTTACTATTACCATTGAAAAGCATGAAAAGTCAGTGTTCATATTTTCTTAATTTTTCTTTTCTTTTCTTTTTTATAATTGCCTTGCTCAAATAATGATCCAAACAGAGTCCATGTGTTGTATTTACTTGCTATGTCTCTTAGGTCTGTTTTGATTTGTGCATTTCTCTCATTTTTTTTTCTTTTAATATATTTGTTGAAGAGCTTAGTTGTTGCACTGTAATCTAAGAATTTCTTACATTTTGGTTAGGCTGACTGAGTTCCTTTGGTATTTAATCAGTTTCTCTGTCCCTTGTATTTTCTACAACATTTAGCAAGATCTAGAGACTTGATCAAAGTCACGTTTGCTTTTTTTGGCAGGGATACTTCAAAGGTTATGCTGTGTACTATCTGTTGCATTACATCAAGAAGTTTAATCAGTGAGTGTAGATATTAATTAGGTATTAGATTCATCCTTTATGAAGTTCCCATCAGTTTTTCACTCAAAGGCTATAGCAGCCATTTGATGATCATTAGTTAAGTCCATGATATTATCAGGGGTTTCAAAATGGTGATAGTCTATCATTCTGTCTTCATTTATTGGCCAGAATTTTTCTATAAAGAAAAACTTTTCCTGCATTATTTAATTACCTTGAGATTGTACTGGTAAGGTGGGGCGTAAGTTTGACTTTCCCATTATATACTGGTTTGGATAATAATCAGCTGATTCACTTCTGTATTAATTTTCTATTTCTGCTGTAATAAATGATCATAAACTTATTGATTTCATGCAACACAGATTTATTACACTTCTGAAGGCCAAGTCTGAAATGGTTCTCACTAGGCTTCCATCAAGGTGTGGGCAGGGCTGCATTTTAGGGGAGATTCTGTTTACTTAACCTTTTTCTAGTTTCTGGAGACCACCTACATTCCTTGGCTCATGGCCCCTTCCTCTGTCTTCAAAGCCAGAAGCATAGCATCTTCAAATTACTCTTTGACTCTTCTGCCCTGTTTGTCCATATTTAAGGACCCTGGTGATCACATTGGGCTCACCCAGATAATCCAGGATAATCTCTCTGTTTCAAGGTCAGTTGATTAGCAACCTTAATTCCATCTGCTACCTTAATTATTTTGCCGTATATTGTAATATATTCAATATGTTCTGAGGATTAGGACATGAATATCTTTGGGAGATTATTATTCTGTTTATCACCATTAATTCCTCCAAAGTCAACTGATGAAACTTAAAGAAAAATATTTACTTATTTTTTAAGTATCATTATGAACTCATGGATTTTAACATCCTTGGGTATGTTTTACTACATTGCAATTTATTCTTTTTGATCCTTGGATGTATTTTACTACATGGTAATTAATTATTATTTTTGGTGCTCAGATTGTCTCATATTTGGCCAGTGGAAGTGCTTTCAAGTTGGCTACACCAACTTGATGTGACATCATTTGTCTTTGGTAGCTTCCTTGACTTATGGTAGGTAGGGCCTGGGTGATTAGAGGCTGTCAGATAAGTGAACGCCAGCTAAGTTTACATGATTTTACTTTGAATATCAATCCAAAATATTTGCCAACTTTCTGTTTTCCTCTAGCTCCTTCAAGTAGAGAGTAATATTCAGCATATGTTTGCCTTTGGCTTTTACTGTGGGCTCTAAGACTGTGTTCAAATGCAGACATTTTTAGGTTGATTTAATCTTTTTAAGGTCTCAGTAAGTTACTCTGTAGAGATAATTTATTTTTTCATTATGTGTATCCAGAGTTCAGGTTATTAGATTGGATTTCCTAACCTTTAGTAAAACAGAGAAGCAGATGCTCTTTATTTAGAAAAATCTGTTTATGCGCACATGTTCTGTAAAACAACAGAAGAAACGAATGTTGTTTAGCTAAAGCTGGTCTGAACCTATATAATATACAGGCTCTTTTGGGTTGCAAGGAACAGAATCACATCAGGCTATATTTTGTGATGACAGTTTATTGTATGGATTCTTGGGGAGTCTGGGAGCTCAGGAAACTCTTCATCTGCTTCTTGGAGTATGTTATTCTGAATTTCATAGCTGTGACTTCTCTTGGCATATCCATTACTGATGTTTCTACTACAGTTGCTGCTGACCTCCTTTTGATTACTTAATGGCTGTGCTTACAAATAGCTTCTGTACCATTCTATCCTCTGTCCTTTCTGTGGGTCTTCCCATTCAAACTTCCTGAGAGAGACCCTGGTGGGGTTGGGCCAATTTAGAGTGTCCTTGGGCAGAGTTCTTGTGTAAGTCATCTCATAGACTGCTGGTTTTCCCCATGTCTGGCCTGTAGACTATTATCTTTAACCCAACTGCTTATCCCTGATCTACTCAGTTTTGGTAAAAAATGTAGGGTCTCAAAATATAACACCTGGAAATCTCTGAGGCATTGCCTGTGGCCAAATTTCCAGGAAGGGAACTTTGGGTGTTGTAGGCCATCAAAGTGTCTAGTATAGGATTATTATTCAAAATAGCTAATTATTTCTGCCTTCCTTAAAGGTAAGGAAGGGGAGACTTAAATCCAACAGTTAGTTTGAAGAAGTGAGTTAGCATGTTGAGTGGTCTCACCACTCAACTTTTTCCTAAGAAGAAACTAAGCTGCCATGTGCCTTGAAGACAGCCATTTGGTTAAATAAAATATTCAGAATATTCAGGAGAGTAGTCATAAAATTTGCCATCATTTATCAAAAAAAAAGGGGGAATTAAGATTATGAATCAGGAACATAATTTTGAACAGCAACACATGTACAGTATATTTTGAATAGACTGCCTATTTCCATTTTCTGATTATGAAAACATTGATTTTTGGTGTTTTTTTTACTTTTTTTTGCCTTTGTAGGAATTCCATATAAGCAACTTACTGTTGGAGTCCCCAAGGAGATTTTCCAAAATGAGAAGCGAGTGGCATTGTCTCCTGCTGGGGTTCAGGCCTTGATCAAGCAGGGTTTTAGTGTTCTTGTGGAATCAGGTGCTGGTGAAGCTTCCAAATTCTCAGATGATCACTACAGAGCAGCAGGTGCCCAGATCCAAGGGGCGAAGGAAGTGCTGGCTTCTGATTTGGTGGTCAAAGTAATTATTCTTTTCCCCTCTTATTTATGGCATGCTGATTTTTTGAAATCTTTTCATAGAAAAATTAAATTACTGTCTGTTGTTATAGCTTTTCATAGTTTCAAATGATGTCTTTTGCTCAAAGAAATGGTTGCATGTTGTGAATATTCTTCATGTTCCTGTAGAACTTTTATCAGGAAGTGTGATCAGTGCTTAACAATGAGAATAGAAAATGTGATCTTCGTTTTTACATTTGCTATGTGGAAATTCCCTTTTATCTGACAAGGGAAAATTTGCACTACATGATTTATAAATATCCAGAATATGCACAGGTGAGTATTTAATTGCTGCTAGAATGGAAAGAAAGCATGGAACTCCTCCTGGGACTGAATGTACAGTGATCTGATACCTAAGAAGGAACAGTGAGTTAACTGAGATAAGTGCTGTTTCTAGAGGGGGCAGGACTATTCTGGAGAAGTCAGCATTGGGTTAAGTGGCGAGTAGCTTTACCTACCTTTTAATAAAAGGTCTTCATATGTAATAGAAATTTATGTGCTGAAAGATTTTAGAAATAAAATCTGAAGTAAAAATCATGTAGAGAAATGAAGAGAGACTGTATTAAGAGTGCAGTACAGGTGATTAATAAAGTTGAGCACTAAATTATATCCTAAGCCTTCTGCAACCTAGGCATACTGAGAAGTATGGATTATATAAGGATGATTATCAGGTTAAAATAAATGCTTCACTTTTAAGTGAAAGACTAGCTTTTTTTGGTATTAATTTCTTAGGGGGAAGCAATTACAGTTGTTTTTTTGTTTTTTGTTTGTACATGAAGTCCACAGAGTAACTCGATAGGGTCTTAAATAGTGGTTTTTGCAGAGGACATAAAACTGCTTTTTCCTTTAAAAAATTAATAGTAGAATTTATAGTATGGAGATAAATTATAATTCAGCTTTTAATCTTTTTTTTCTTGGTGATATAACTTGGCATAGGAAAAGACCTTAGGGAAAAGAGAGTAAGTATAGTTCATTCCAACGTATATTCTAGAGATCAGACCTTTTGAAATGTCCCACAATAAGGGGTCAGTAGGAAGCATGTACATTTTGGAAATTCTCTGTGTACCTTTTTGAGATTCATAATGTGTTAGGTTAAAGGCACAGAGAGATCTATAATACAGAAACTTATATAACCGTATCCTTGCATTAATAAACTACTTGACCTTGAGGCCTCTTTTTTGAGTCAAGCCAGTAAGTATCTTGAGGAATTAGTGATCTAAAAAGCACATTCAGGGAAACATTTTATTGGCCTATCTTGCTCAGATGCCAGCATCTCAGCTGAGCATTTGATAGGAGCCAGCAGAATTAATTCAAAGTTGTCCTCTAATTTTTATTAAATCTATAATATAGATTCTCACTGAGGAAAAACAGACCCTGTCAGAGAGTCTTAATTAAGTCCAGGACCTGAAGTCCCATGTATCACCAGATCAACAACTGAAATGGGAATAACAGATAAAGATTTCTCATAGGTAAATGGAGATGAAATGCTGTAAAATCAAAGTATTGATCCAGTGCTTGTGTTTCAGGTTCCTTTTAAAATATTGTAAGTCCCAACACCGTTTTTTTCCCATGCTTACTTGCCTAAAAGCACTACTGTGAACTGGGAGCTAATGAAACGATCTACTTTAATTGAAGACTGATTTTAAACTTGGATATAGAAAAAGTGGGCTTTTAAAAATTTGGCTTTAAAAAAGTGGACACTTGGAATTTTCATGTGGAGTGTGTGTTCATTGATTTGACACTAATTATCATAACAGAATATGTTGGAGTTTTTTGCTTAAACCTAATTCAGCAAGACTAGTAGTTTGCATCATGTTCATCTATAAATATTTATCTGAAATTTTAGGGTGGCATAAGTCAATATGTACTACTATGGAGATTTTCATGTACAACATTTTTAACGTCTCCCACTCCAAATGTTTGTGCTTGCCAGAATTAGCAAGAATTTGAGCACACAACAAAAACTTCCTGTCCATTTATTCTTATGTCTCTTAATCTTAGCAGAATAACAGATGTTGGGAGGACAGGTTTGTTGTTGAGCCAACATATTTTTCCATTGCTCTGCAGTTCATTGTCAAACCTGTTCCAACACTATTTCCAGGTGTGTGCTCTCTTTTCTCAGACCAATTCATAGGTCATGAGCCAGAGGAGGAATGGCATAGATCTTTGTGTACATTGCCTTGTTTACTAATTTAGTCAGAACTTTCTTGGTGAAAAACTACTTCTGGCTACTCTTTCGATCATGGCATATTATTTAAATTGTCCTACTTACTTAAAAATATGATAAAGGTATTTACATTTTTAATCTGTGACTTGACTTTTTTCTCAGGTGCGAGCCCCCATGGTTAATCCAACATTAGGTGTTCATGAAGCTGACCTTTTAAAGACATCAGGAACACTGATTAGTTTTATTTACCCAGCCCAAAATCCAGACTTGCTGAATAAACTTTCCAAAAGAAAAACTACAGTTCTGGCAATGGACCAGGTTCCAAGAGTCACAATTGCTCAGGGATATGACGCGCTAAGCTCCATGGCCAACATTGCTGGGTAGGTTTATTCTTTTCCATTTCATTTGCACAAAAGCACCGTGGTACTACAGAAACATGCTCAGTGTAGCTCTTCTCTCTCACAGTGATTTTACTTGTAATAATTTTTGGAGACTGCACCCTTTTGAGAGTGCACTTAAATTATTTTTAAGACTCACAGTCTTAAGATAGCAGATAGCTCTTCATATTGCACTGTGTTGTACACTCCTTTTTAACTCCTCTTAGATGGAAGTATTTCTTTCCACCAAAGGAAATGACTGTCACAATATACTGTAATTCATATTTGTGTATGTGTGTGTACATATGTACATTGGTTGAAATTGCTGTTTTTTCCCCTATTTTACTGAGATATAATTGACATATGACATTGTATAAGTTTAGGGTGTACAGCATTATGATTTGACATTGGTATATACTGTGAACTGATTACCACAGCAAGTTTATAGGTCGGAAATAGTTGGATATTACCAGTTTCATGTGGTTCAATCTAATATAAATACATTAGCAGATTTATCATCTTAATTAGGTTTTGCTTAGGTAAGTTCATAAAATACTTAATGAATAGGGAAAATGTCTGTTGTTGAAGAAGTTTCATCTGGTGTCAAAACCCAAATTGATGACTGAGAGCTAACTATGTCCTCTTCCTTTTAAGGCCAAGATGGCAATAAACTTTCTTTGCCTGCCAGCACTAAGCAGTCCCTGTTTATTGTCTGGCATGCTCTGTTAGAAGGATTCTCAGGCCCATTCTGCCCAGAAATGTGCCTGGGCCAAAGTAATCCTGTCTGCCCTGGGGTAGGGAGAGGAGCAGAGCTAGAGGAGTGCAGCGTGTTGCTGACTCTGCCTAGGCAGTGGGCAAAATCTGGAAATTGGATGATGCTTATGAAATCAGCTCATCCAAGAATTAGATTTAAGAAAAATTTTTAATTTAATTTTTAAAATTGACATATCATTGATAGACAATCTTACATTGGTTTCCAATATACAACACAGTGGTTCGGCAGTTACCGATATTATTAAATCCTCACCCCTACTAGTGCGGTTACTATCTGTCAACAAAGAAAGGTGTTACAGAATCACTGAATATACAAGAATTAATTAGATTTTAAGCATGAACTCTTAGTGGTGACAGTTTGCTAATATGAATGAGGCATCAACAAATGAACATGTTTAAAAAATAAAAGTGCGTTTACAAAAAAAGACTAGCCCGAGTAAAGCCTTTTACAGCCTGACACATGAGCTTGAAGTTTTCTTAGGTTTTATGTCTTAGGGATAGCAAATGAAATATGCCACAGATTTTACTTTGGGTTTCAGCTGTTCATTTTCAGTATAAATGAGATGTAATAAGCTAAAGCGACAAGTTAAAAACAAATGTTGTCTTCAACATAATTTGGCAAATGGTTGGTTTGAAGGTATTTTTTGTGGTGTAAATTATATACCAAGGAACAAAATAAATTTTGCCACATTTATTTAGTTTGTAGAAGTGTTATATTATGCAGTGGGGACTTAACATTTTATATTAGAAAATGTACAATGTAACATTTTGAAAGGTCATCAAAACCAGTAGCTCTAGATCAGTGGTTTTTAGCTGCAGAGTCTTCAGAGCAAATGAAATATTATGAGTTAATATAAACAAATCCAATTAAGAGCAAAGTGGCCTTAGGTAAATTGAGGGAAGGAGGGGTGTCCAGAAATATGTCTGTTTTCTGTTCCTATCCACTGTGGCTCCAGAGCTGGCTGAAATTTGAACCTTTGGGGATCAGTGGGGACACAGTTCAAAGCATCACTGTCTTGTGTCCTGAGCTGATATATGCAGAGGTCATAGTTTGAGATGAATCTAGTACATGTTCACACAATGTGTGATAAATCGTTATAATTGCTGTAAAGGCATGCTCCTTCCACTTCATTGATGTTCATTCTGAGCTTTTTAAATCTCATCAAAGAAATAGCTGCTTCTATTACTTTTTTCCACTTTCAACATTTTCTCATACATTTTCTGTGTGTTCAGTCTTTTTATTTTTCTCAGTATGACAGTTGAAAGTTACAGTAGTCAACATGACATGCTTTTGCAGCAATTAAAGTATTGTCTCATAAAAATATGATCAGGGAAAGGTTTTATTGTCACCTAGCTGGTGGATATCATTAAATAGCTGCATTACAATATTAAGGTAGAGTGTGTGTTACCAAGTGAGAATGTGCGAAAGTGCCGTTTAAGTGGTAAAGTGATACGCAGATGAATTAGTGTAATATGTAAAAGTAGCCTGTTAAAGAAAACATGGTATATTTTACTAGTTTTTATTGTAAAGAGTGTTTCTTTAGCTAGAAACACCAATATTTACCAAGCACTTACTATGACAGGCTTTTACTTTAAACACTTCACCTGCATTATCTCATGTAGTCCTCATAACAACTCCAAGAGATAGATGTTTTCTCTGTACCTACTTTATAGATGAGGAAAGCAAGGATCAGAGAATTAAAGACACTTGCCCAACGTCACAGAACTAGTTACTGGTAGCACAAGGGCTCAAACTGAGGCCAGTGTGTCTCAGAATCCCATGCTTTCAGCCATTAGAGATCAAGGGAACTGTTTTTTATTCTGAGGTTGGAATTTTATTATGTACAAGCATATAGCTAATCTAATTTTTAAAATTTTAATGGTTTCCCGCTACTGTATAAAACACATAGTGATCAAAGAAAATTTGGATAGTATAATAAGGCAAAACAGAAAGTTTGAAGTATCTGTAGTCTCAATACACAGAGAAAACCATTGTTAGTTTTCTTGCCTCTCCTTCATTTCTTTTTTATCCTCACTGCTCTGTAGTTTTTGTTGTGAAGACACCAGGGAGCCGCATGGCTTAGAGTGTGCCTCGGTAGGCTCTGCCATTTAGTGCCTGAAGTCTCTTCATCTCCCTACAAAATGAAGAAAAAATTGTATCTATCCCCATGACATTGTGAGAGCTATCATAAGATTAAACATAAGGCACTTAGAACTTCTTTTGACACATGGTAGGTTACTATATAAATGTTAGCTATCCTCATTCTTTGACTAATTGATGGCTTATGATGAAAGATGAGCCTGTGTTCTTTCACATTGTGGAATTATTTATCCCTTTATTTCTTTTTTAAGCTATAAGGCTGTTGTACTAGCTGCAAATCATTTTGGACGGTTTTTTACTGGTCAGATCACAGCTGCTGGAAAAGTTCCCCCTGCTAAGGTAGGTAACACTTGTCATGTGTCTTCCTGATATGAATTATTTAAAGGCAAGGGTAGGTATAGTATTCAAATACAGTTATTTAACAGTTTGTTAGGTGTTAACTTCACACTGATGATTTTTGTGGCATATGCAAATAAGTGGTGGAGCCTCAAAGCTGCTGAAGATTGCTCAATCAAAGAGAATTTTGACATTTCTGGAAGTGCTAGTTTCTATTTTTGACTTACTAATTTGAATTCTTAAAGGAATTTTGAATAACTTGTTCTGTGTAGCCTGTTTATTAGCCTGTGTAGCCAGATTTTTAAAGAAAGCTTTAAGATACCAGATACCATTCAGCAAATTCTTGATTTCCCAATCAGTTTGACATTTGATCCATAGAAAAGACTGTCTTGGTTTCCTCACTTTTTGTCGAATTTTGGGGCAAAAGGACAGAAAATAGGAAGTGGTGTAATCAGGGTATTTGGCAGGGAAAATGGCTATATTGTGACCCTTCAACACTGTGTACACTAAATGACAATATATGCACATTGGCAAGGTATAGGAAACAGGACTTTAAATGCTGTCATCTACCTGAAGAGGATACACTGTAGGGCATGTTTACTTGGTTTCCTACTTTTGTTATATAAGCCCTGAGCTCTCACATAAAATAAATCTCCTAGAAAAAATGGAAAAAGAATACTAGCAGCTTTGAGAAACCCAGTTATATGTTGCTTTAAAAACAGGCCAGGTGAAGAAAATGGCAACTGGTTTAAGTGGAAGCCAGAATACTTAACAAGAAAGTGTGCCCAGACAACACAGAGATGTGGTATGTAAAATGATTTCATTGTGACTCTTTCTCAGGACCATAAGAAAAGGTCTGGCACTCATGGAGCCCAGAAGTTGAATGCTGTTCTTAGACTGGCTGATGTTTCAATGCTCAAATCCACTACTCAGTTTTGGTTAGAAATCTTTCTTGAAGTGCATGGAAGTTGAGAGGAAAGTAGTGAATATAAAGGATTAAAAAGTGAAACTGAAGATAGGAGGCTTACAGGAAGGATAATCAATCAGCTTTTAAAATGTGGAAAAGTGGCTATCTTCACCAAAAATTTAAATTGCAACCCAAGAGACTTTGGTTACATGTCAGAAATAGCTTTCTGATACTGAAGGATCAGGCACTAGATGGGCCCATCAACGTAGCTTGTAGAATATTTCATGTGGATTTCCTTTAAATTTTGTGGGTTCTTACTTGTTTAGAATGAGCTAAAATCAATCATTGGATGGCTTGTGATATGCCAGGCACTGTTTTTAGAGCTGGAGATACGTTATGAGTAAGGCAAACAAGGTCCTCGCCATGTGGAACACTCTAGTAGGGGTCATGGTAGGGAGACAAATAAACAATCAAATAAATATATGAGGTAATTTTAGGTATAAGAGAAATGAACAGGATGATGTGATAGTGAGTAATGAGAACAGGCATCTTTGTAAGGCTGATGGGAAAGGCTGAGCTCAGGCCTAAAGGATGGGAAGAAGGAAGCCAGGGCTTTGGGAATCCCGGCAGAGGGCTCAGTGCATACGAAGGCTCTGAGATGGAAGACAGTTCAGGGTGTTCTAGAAGAACAGAGAGACATTTGGTCCTGGAGGGTGGGGAGCAGGTGGAATGTGACCTGGGATGATGTTGGAATGGTAGGTCGTGGCTGAATGGTGAATGGCCTCTTACAGGTCTCGTTCTAGAGTTCAGGTTCTCTTGCAGATGAGGGAATACTGATTTAGGATTGTTTTGGAGGTGCTTCTTGTTTCTGTGTGTCTCCTCTACTTTCACAAAAAGTACACCACTTCTGATACTTCTGGTCGCCAAATGTGTGGGGATTTTCTCCACACCAAGCAATTCTCTGATACCAGCCAGGTATTGTACGACTCAGTTCTAACATTGTCTACCTGGAGGTTGTGTCAGATCCCACAGGTTAAGGACTTAGTGCCACATGACTGGCTCCACCCCTCTTCAGATGCCAGCTGTAAGTCCGGGTGGTTACCTGTGCTTCTGACAGGCTGGCTGTATATGGTTCAGAGGTTCCCACACTCCCTCCTTGGTATAGTTAATTTGGTTAGGAAAACACTTTATTTACTGTTGACTAATTTATTATAAAAAGATATGATAAAGGATATAGGTGAACATCCAGATGGAAGAGAAGCTTTGGGGCAAGGTATGTGGGAAGCTCCAGACCCTCTCTGGGCAGACCACTCTTCTGGTACTTCCATGTGTTCACCAACCTGGGAGCTCCTGAACCCATACATGTGGGATCTTTCTGGAGGCTTCGTCATGTACGTGTGATCAATCATTAATTCCATTTCCAGCTCCTCTCCCCTCTCTGGAGAATGGGAAGTGGGCTGAAAATTCCCAGCTTCTAAGCCATGGCTTGGTCTTCTGGGGACCAGCTCCTATCCAGGGGCCTGCTGAGAATCACCTCATTGACCAGAAAGCACTGCTGTCACCCAAGAGATTCCAAGGGATTAGGAGCTCCGTCAGGAACTGGGGTCAAAGACCAAGTATTAGAACAAAAGATGCTCCTAGTGCTTTTCTTAACTTAGGACATTAACAAGGGTTTTAGGAGCTCTGTGCCAAGAGTGTGGCAGAGATCAATGTATATATTTTCTATTAGCTCATGAGGATTAAAAAAATCATCTGGCTGTTCCATGGGAGATGGATAGCAAGGGGAAGAGTGAAGAGACCTGTTAGGAATTGATTGCAGAAGGTAGTAGCAATAGAGATGTGAATAAGGGGGTGGATTGGGAGCTCTTTGGGGGTAACACCAAGAGTACTTGCTGATGGATTGGAGGTGGAAATAAGTGCCAAGGGAGGATTTAAGATGACCTCCATATTTTGGCTTGAACAGTTGCAGCTAGTGCCCTTTACTGAGATGGGAAGCTGCAAAGAATAGGCTACATGACTGGAAATCCAGAACATTCCCAAAGGTTTTTCCTTTCTCTTACCCTTTCCCCTCCTTAGGAATTCTGTGTTAAAACTCCTGGGTTAAAGCAGTCAGGGTTTTCTATTCCATCATTTCATGGAATAATCTTCTGTGAAGGCGTTCTGACTGCTTTATTGCAGTTACTAAGCAGCTTGCTCAAAGTCACCCAGAACTAGTTGGTAGCAGGCAGGATCTGACCTATGCTCTCTTTTACTGTCTTTTTCTCCACCCTGCTGCAGACAAAGATAAATTGCTTTTGTAAGATCCATATTGCTCTATTCTTGTGCAATTCCATCTTTCAAATTATAGGGTATTTTGTTGTTTCTAGATTCAGGATAACCTGGCCTAGTCCAGTGATATTTTACTCATTTCTATTTATTTATTTTTAGCAGTGGTTGGGCTGCAGTGTGTGGAGTGGGGTTGGTTCCTTGGAGCCTTGAGCCAGCTTGTTCACTCTGGTCCCTCTTTGTCCCCTTTCCTGCAGACCTCTTCCCTCAATACACCATCACTATCAAGATCATTTCACATAAACCTTGTGACACTGCCTAAGGGTCACTTGAGTGTAGTTTGACTAGCTTAGTCTTCTCAAAGATCCAGAAGGAGATGTGGGCATGATGGGTGGGTGGAAATTTATAAACTAACCTCTTTCAGTGGGTGGCTTTTTTTTGTTGTTTGTTTTCCTGCAGCAACAAGGAGTTGCCTTCAGTTGACTGGAAAGTACAATAGGGCTTTTCTCTGGGAGGCTCACTGCAGACTGGAGACAACATTGTTCTTATTATTTTGTCTTAGAAGGCAGGGGAGACTCTTGTTTCTGAGGAATTCTTTGATTTTTCTTGGCTCTGATCCTTCCACGGTTAGGGAGATAAATTGCATTGCTTTGGATTTCAGGTACAGTTCATTCAAAATGGTTCAAGTTAGGGGATGGGGCATCTGCTGTTCCTTAAGAAGCATTGGAGTTCAGGTGTTTCACCAAAGTTGTTATCCATCTTTGAAGATTATTCTGATATTTTATGAACTTAGAGAAACCTTAAAATCTGAGAGGGGAGAGGTAGCTAGAATGCTACACTGGGAATTTTAATAGAAGAGTCTTTTATACAGAAGGAAAGAACCTGTTAATCTTTAACATACATAGTGCTGGTTGTGCTGTATGGCGCTTTTACACTGAGTTGCTGATTGTTGGGCTGTTTTTAATGAAGGTCGTTGGCCTTTGCCAACCATTGTTCCTCTGATATGTTTTTAAAAACAGTGGTGGTTCAGTTAAAGAGTAGCCTGTCCACTCAGTACATTCACTGATGATGATCAACATTTGCAGTTGCTAAGCAGCTTGTTCTTCATTTCAGAAGACACTAGATACTGCATTTTGTTAAATGAGGATGATCATCACCGCCACCACCACCACCTGGTGTCATACTGAATGCTAACTGTACACCAGCACTGGGAGTTGTTAGCTGATGATCTTTCTTAATCAGTTGATAATGAACTTTACTTAAAACCTACCGGTTCTGCCCTTCCTCCTAGATTCTGATAGTTGGTGGTGGCGTTGCTGGGCTTGCCTCTGCAGGTGCAGCCAAGTCGATGGGTGCAGTTGTTCGAGGCTTTGACACAAGGTGAGTGCTCTACTAGTGAGTGCTGTTAAGGTACATTTTGTTTCATGTGGATTTTATGCTTTCTTGAGAATTTGTAATTTGCAGTAGCACACTGAAAACTGCTCTGTAAAGCTCTTCCCATTTAAAAATGTTTCCACTTTTTCGAAGTGAACTTAAAGGGGAAAGATATTACCTAGTGGGAAGAAAATTTAAGGACCCAGACTCAGGACCACAGAAAAAAAAAACAACTGAAAACTAACAACTCATACTTTATTTTGTTTCTTCATGTGTATTAGCAATGGGACTATTGTTATCACTATCCTGAGTTTCTAACGTATCCTGTTGCTCTGTCTGTTGTGTCCTATTCCTGTTCAGAATGCATTTAGGTACTAGGTAGGACATGAACAGAGATGTTTGTGAGTGTGTCAAGAGGGATAGTATAGGTGACATTTTGGAGAACAGACTGGGGCCAGAGGGTGAGGGGTGTGTTCTGTGTTCCTGGATGGAAGCAGATAAAGCTGACTGGGCAACAGTAGAGCCTCTAAGAGAGAAAGTACTTATTTATGTTCATTGTGTATTCCTTTAAAGAGGACATGACAGTATTTTCCTAGAATTTCTTTAAAGAGAAATTTGATTAAACTTGTTCTTCATTTCAGAAGGCACTAGATACTGGATTTTGTTAAATACCTATTGAGTATTGCTATCATTTATGTATTGCAATATTTTTTTGAGGTTGAAACATGTAGTTATTTATATCAGTTGGGGTCAGTAGAGGAATAGTACTATTCTGCTATTTGTGAATATAGAATGATAAAAAAAATTTGCAACCAAAGTTGGAATGAATGTGACTTTGCAGAGTAAAGAATGTTCTGTGGAATGTGGCTGAGAGTGCTTACCTGGAGTTTAGAAAAGTGATGTGTCGATAAAAAGCTGACCCGCTGAAATGAGAAAAGGCCTTTTAGAAGTAATCAGGACACAAGCCAAGTATAGCTAGAGTTAAGCATGTCATTAGTCATACCTTCTCATTTTTAATGTTTGCTGATGTGAAGTCTTTGAAGACCTCCAAACTTGGAGAAAGAAATTGTTCAAGTTTTCGATGTAGTGGACAATAGTATTAGACTGGAAATGTATATATTTGGCTTAGAGATGATTTGCAACAATATTGGGTCAATGACTGTGAATTTATTAAAGTTATACTGGTATCATTGTTGTATATTGAGTAGACAGCTGGGATATGGCTGTTGCTAACTCCATTTTTATTTACAGTTTGTTAACATAAATAAAGTATACAATAAAGGAAAATGTGGCTTAACTGATACAATATTTTTCTAAGAATTATAACTAAGTAATCTAATCACTGTTTTGAGACTAGGGGTATCATAAATATGAAATCCAAATTTATTAGAAAACACACTTGATTATAAGTTCTTTTTGGAAAACTGAATGGTATATATTTCGGTTAAACATCCTAAAAACTTAAGGACAACTCATTGCCCAGTGATATTAAAAGGGTGTGATTTTGGAATTTTTTCAAATAATAGTTAGAAGATTCCCCTTTAAACAGTAGTACATGTCTTGCCTAATGCCTGAATTATTCCTATATTACAAAGTTTAGAAATATAAAACCTTTAGTTTCTTTTTTTATCTCTCTCTGTTTTCCAATAAAGCTGTATTTACAAAAAAAATTGGGAGGTCAAAAGCTATAGTGTTCAGACACCTATACTAAATGTATATTCTCTCCTAGGCATAATGCCTTTGTCTTATCAGTTTGTTACAGTAACTCTATGAAGAAGGAGTAATTAGCTCTATTTTATACACAGAAGGGGAAATAAAATCAATTTCATAGCTTACCCAGTTTATTTTTGGTCATAAAAATAATACATAGTATTTCTTGAATTCAGAAAATATAAAAAAGCACAAAAAGTAAAAATAAAATAACCTAAAATCCTTTTTCCTGGAGGTAACTATTAACATTTTAGTAAATGTCCTCTTTTCTATACATTAATTCAAATAAAATTTTACTAAATAATTTTACCAATAGTACTATTTAACTTAGTTTCTTTAACTTAACAATAGACCATGAAGATCTTTTCTTACCTACAAATATATTTAATGGTTATATAGGATTCTTTTGTATAGAGACACAGTGGCTTATTTAACTAGTCCTCTATAAATGGACATTTTTGCTATATAAAAATAATACTGTGTATATATATATGTAAGAACATACATATTTGGAGATACCTCATTATTTCTTTAGGATAAATTCTTGGAAATGGAAAATTTGGGTTGGCAGATATTCACATCTTAAATTTTGATATATTGTAATAGGTTGAAATGATGGCATTATTTTGAAGGCAAATTCTGTTTTTACTTACACATACTCATTATTAAAAAATACAGAGAAGCATAAGGAAAAAAAATACCTTGTACAATTTTATCAGCCAAATATTATAATTGCTAATGATTTTTTGGTATACTTTCTTACAGATTTTTACATGGATACATTTTGAACAAAGTCCTGGTCATTTTACATATACTTATATACACACACACTCACACACAGACATAGAGACACACACACATATTTTGAATTCATCTTATTTTGAATTAAAAATAGGAGACATTTCTAAAACTTTTTAAAGAGCTGTATCCCTTTGGCTGTAAGGAATAGAAAACACTAGCTCAGATTGGCTTAAACTATAGGAAAGCATATTCTGTGCCCTGAGTGAGAGTTCGTGGGAAGGACTCCCTTTTCACAGGAGGGTCAGCAGCTGTGGACACGCTCCAGGGTTGGCTTCTTCCTCTCTCTCCTCTCTGCTGCCCTCAAATTTGGCTGATCCCTTTGTGGTCACAAGTTGACCTCCCTGGGCAGTCTGGGCTGCAAACCTCCTTGCTCATGCCAGCAGACAGGGAGAAAACCTCTCGCTCAACGTTTGTGTCTGCCATTTCTGTCCTTCCCTCATGTCCTCTCCTTCCCTGACGTGACAGTTACTAAGGACTGATGGGCTCAGACTAGTTTCCCAAACCTGCTTGATGGCAAGAATTATCTGCAGCTCTTGCTGAAAATACAGCCTATTGCCTCTCTGCTGGAAGTTGTAATTCAGTGGGTTTGGGAAGGGGCCTAGGAATTTGGATTTTTAACAAATATCTGGAGTGATTGTCATTAGGGGAATTTGGGATTTACTGTAGTGGGATGAATGTTGGTAAGTTTAACACTCTGTCTACCACAGAGTTGAAATCTTTGTTGGCTCTAGTTTTCCAACCAGTATATAGTACTTGGCCAGCATTCATTTATTTTTTAAAACTAACTTTATTTTTACACAATTTAAATGCATTGGCTCTTCACATTTTACCATTTATACCATTTATCAGTTGCTTTTTTCTCCAAACATAATTTGATGAAGACAAGGACAAAAATCAATTTGTTAAAATATTTCTAAATAAAAGAGTCATTTATGTGAGAAAAGTCCTCATTAGTCAGAACATTTACAAAATGAAAACCAACTTGGGTGATTAGAATGAAATAAAATCTTCATGTAGATCAGATCTCACATCGTCATTAGCAGTGGGGCCATGAGAAACAGTTGGTTGCTGGAGTTGGCAGTGGTGAAATTCCTTTTGTCACTTAACTAAATAGAAGTTGGAGTTCCCTGTAATAGTTCTTTTTCCCCAGAAAAAAATTATTATTATACAAGTGTTACCTGCCTTTAGAAAAAAAAAATTGAGACAGTCCAGGTGGAGATATCAAAACAAAGTCTCTAGTTTGAATATATAGTTTGCTCTTTTGAAAAATGTGTGTGTAAATGATGCTATTGATTCCTTCCTGTATTAAGGGTGCAGAATAACCCTTTGTCTTCAATAATCTCCAGAGCTGCAGCTTTGGAGCAGTTCAAGTCTCTTGGTGCTGAGCCCTTAGAGGTGGACTTGAAGGAGTCTGGTGAGGGACAAGGGGGATATGCTAAAGAAATGTCCAAAGAGTTCATTGAAGCTGAAATGAAGCTCTTTGCTCAGCAGTGCAAGGAGGTGGATATCCTTATTAGCACAGCGCTTATTCCAGGTATGTTGCTAAGTCCATGGTTATCATAAAGTGCTTTTATGAACGGTATTTTAAAATGAGAGTGCAACTTGTTTCACATTTAAGTTTCTGTAAGTAAAGATTGGTTTACTTTTCAGAAAATGAGGAAGCACATGAAAGGCAATAAAGACAAAACTCACTGCAGCCCCTAGAGAAAAATGGTCACTAATAATCTGGTATATTTTCACCCAGTCTTTTTTTCCTGTCTATTTTTATGTAACTTCGTATATTATATTTGTAAGTGATTTCCTCTGTTCATACTTTTGATAATTGGTTTAAAATTTTTTTTCTGTTCTCTGTGTTAAAATACTACATTCTTGTTGGAAATTCAAACAGTACTGAAAAATATGAAGGAAGAAAGTACAGATATGAAGTTCACGAGCAATGACTCTTACTATATTTTGATGATCATTTTTCTATACGTGGTGGGGGGACACTTGGTGTGTGTATGTGTGTGTATTTATGGAATTTATGTGTATATTTTTCACTAAAGGATACAACACTTTGTCACTTTCTAATTATTGCCTTTGACATATTTTGTTTTTGCAACCAAATAATGAGCTTTTTGATGGCAGGAATTCTTTTCTAGTTTTTTGACAAAATCGTCTTTCTAAAGAATGTTTATCACTCAATACATGATTTATGTCAAACCAATAAGCACCTATTAATCAGCAAAGGGTAGCTTGATCCAGCAAGATTTGGGAGTGAAGAAACTCTCCACTGTTCATATTCTTACCTCTTTTCTTCTGTCCTTTCCTTTTGTTGTTGAATAATGAACACCATGTTGATTCTAATTTCTTCCTTTCTGAATGAAAGTGGGCCAAGATAGTGAGAACTTCCTGGGTTCATGGTTACTTGTAGTAGATCCAACTAAAGGAGACTTGCTTTCTCTAAGGGACTGTGGAATATTAGGAGTTGCTTGTCATGAAGTTATGGAGGTGAGAAGTTCCCCTGTGGCACTCCTGCCATAAAAAGAACCTGGCAGTACTATAAACCTGACAGTAGGAAGGTGCCTGGCATTATGACTGGCATTTTCAGAGGAAAAATGTGCCTCCCAAACCCTTCTTTCTGTCCTCCTCACCCAGGTCATACCTGATAAGTGAGCTGATCTCTCTGGACACCCCATCCCACGAGAGCCGGCCAGATTAAGCAGACAGGCCGGGGGGCGATATGCGCTCAGCCCATGGAGGAGTTTGTGAGTGCAGGAATGAGGCCGGGTTGGCTACCGGAGATGGTGGTGGATCAGGCAAGCCAGGGGTACGGGGTGGTGTTTGTGGAATCTGGTGACGGCAGGCCTTAAGCACAAGCAGTGGCAGGAGAGCACCCAATTCAGTATTCGCCCTTTCTTTTTGTGGCAGTGGCTCCTGGCTCAGTGGTTATTTGGGTGGCTTTGGAGAAGGAATGGGGTGGCCTTTGCTGTAGCCACCGATCTGTCCGACCCTTGAAAGGTAGCTGCATGCTGGGGAGAGGAGTTAAGAGTAGGTATTACAAATAACCAGGAGAGGGTGCTAGAACATTTACTCATGGAGTAAATAAGGCCGTGAAGCTGGTTTTAGTCAGGTCATACTCTTAATAAAGAATTGGACATAGTATATAGAATTATTATTGATTATAATGCTCAGAGTGATAGAACTCAATACTTATTATATATAAAACACATACTGACTTTTAGGGCCTATTTCCTATATATGTTATTTTTTTTCATAAGTAGTGTAAGGTAAGTGTACGTTAGTAAAAAGTCAAATTGTGTAATAAAGAAGACTTGTTGAAGAAGTTTCATTTATCTGTTCCATTGAGCCTTGCCTGTTTTGTGTCTTTTCTGAAATCCTGGTCTGCTCACAACATGTTAAACTTACACAAAGTCCTTAAGCAGTGGATTGTACAGAGCTTGCACTTACACAGCTGGTCTGAAAAGGACCTTTCGTTCCTTTTTTTTTTTTTGAAAACCAGAGAAGTTAATTAGAATATTTTAAGGAAGAAGATGATCTTTCTAAAAATCATATCCATGGGGGACTGGAACCTGAAAACATGAGCATTTGAAGGAAAACATGAAAAAGATTATATAAAGGTACAATTGCCTTTTGAAAAACAGTGTCCTGGCATTGCACCTTTATTGGTTTATGTCCTGAGCCTTTGCATGGGTCACCTGATGGTGTGTCTAGCTCGTAAATGACTCTTGGAGCAGTTGTTCTAAAGTTTTCCTGAAGTGGATCCAAATGGGATTAAGTCAAATGTCAGAAGTCTCCAAGCTGAGATATTCAGAAGCTGCACTGAAGATCTGACATGCATGAGGATGTTGAGAGGAACACGGGCAATTAGCTAGTTGCATGTAGCAGTCTTAGCGAGTTGGTAAATTTTCATTCCTCCTGGATACACACAGTCAGTAGTGTATGGCTGACTTGAAAAACAATTACACTTGCATTGATTGTGTGTGGAATGACTATTTCTGTAGCAGGCTAGATCTTGCTGCCTGAGATCTTGTACTGCATACTTGTACGGTCATCTAGACCCCTAGATTGGGCTGGGTGATGGATGAAAGGCTAGAATTTTACTTAATGTAGATAACTTGAGGATAGCCCTACTTGTGTTGTGCACACAAGAGACATCTCCCAACCTTCCTGCCCAGCTCTTTAACCTTCGGGGTTACCATTACAAAGGAAGGCTGCCCCTCTGTCTCTTCAGGCTGTGCTCAATCTTTTCTGCTAAACCGTTAAAGGCAGCAGATTTTTTAGGATCCTTATTGCTCTGGAATCTTTCTGGGGAAACTTCTTATAGACATGGTATGTTTAATTAGGAAGAGATGGACTCAGTTTGAAAATCTGACCCATAAGTTAGGGAGGAGGAATCATAGCGGTTTAGCACTGTCTGTGTGTGAGTCAGATGTCACCTAGATTCCAGTGAGCATGACGGAGGAGCACTGTGGCGCACAGCTCATCTACCTGACAGAGTAACCCTTCTCTATTTAAAGCCTTTCCTGATGACTACCTAATTAAAAGTCATGAGCATCCTGGGGCATCTAGCTTTCCTGCGCCCCCCTTCCGCACCTCGGGTCTTGTCCTGATTTTATGATTGTACCATAGCTACTGGAAAGCCTGGGGTTTTGTGTAGGGGTGACTCCTGTAATGAGGCCCACTCAGGTTTCTGTCATCATTAGATTAAGACACTTAACGTGTCAAGACTGGATCGTGTCCCCTCCCTGCCCTACCTCCACTGCCTCCCCTGTGCTGGAAAGTTTGTGCTTGTTGGTAAGGTATTCATTGCCTTTCAGTCACTAGTCCTGATTTAGCTTTTGGGCCTCGTGTTAAGCTAATTTTTCACCCTCTGGGCCTGATTTCAGTTATGCTGGCTGCAGTTATCTCCTCAAATAGGCCAAGGACTTCAGGGCTTTGCACATCTTGTCCCTGCTTTCTGTAATGCTATCTCTGTCCTTCCCTGTCTTTTGAAATCCCATTCAACTCAGTTACCACTTCCTCCAGAGTTTCTGCCGTCTCCACTTCAGTGGTAGATACTTTTTTCTGCGTTCATAACACTGTGCCCTGTGCCTGAGCCCACTGGTTCTCCATCTCGCTGCCCCTTCACTGCCCAGGCTCCCTGGGCCTGCCACAGGGTCCAGCTTCTCTTGGTCATAGCTGCTGCTTGCTGCAGGGCCTGCCACACAGCAGTTTCTCACAAATGTTGCTGAGCTAATAATTATGGGCACCTGCCTTAGGTTTCAGTTGGTAGAATCCCTTTTATATTTCCAGTGCTAGCCAAGGAATGAGAGAGAGAACACTCTGTTGGCTCACATTTAGGTAGGAGTGCCGCAGAGGCTAATATGAGACTGGGAACCAGGCTTTCTTAAATTGTCAAAACTAGGACACTTGCCACATTTGCAATTTGAGGTGGCTAGCTAGACCACTCAGGGGACAGAGTCAGGAAGTAGTGGAAGGCCTGTTCAAGAGTTAGAAAGTATCCTATCAGCCAGGAAGGAAGATATTCATTGCTTGATTATAAATTATAATCTTTTAGGCCATATATATGTAGACTTCCTTTTAGGCACAATCCGGATTAGGTTAACAATACTTTTTATTTTTATCCATACCAGGTAGGGTCAGTAGAATACACCCCTCAGAGGACAGTTGTAATTTACATGACTTTGACAAATTGGGAGGGGTATTTTCTCCTGACATGCAAGGGCTTTACACATGAGACCAAACCTAAGCAATCTCACTCTCTCCCAGAGTCAACATTGGTTCTCCAATTGGTGCTTCCTGCCTCTATAAGTCCATCTTTCTTAGGGAGTGGAAATGTAGCACAAAAGAATAACTTTCCACTGTAATTTTCAAACTTGTTCTTTGAGGCAAGAGAATAATTGATATGGTGATATACTCTTGACTTGTGAAATTCCACAAACATAACATTGTTTTGATGACTACACAAAGTTTTTGCTTAAAGTAAAGATTTATTTTTCAGACCGTGCTTTCCCTTCTGTAAACATTATGATCTTACAGGGCAAAACTATGTAGATCAGTAATTTCCAACTTTTTTTGAACTATTTAACTTTTTTTTTACTGACTAATGTGACTTAACTGCCATACTCCCCTTCCTTAAATGTATTGTATGATTGTATGGAATTTTGTAATATTACTTCTGCAAAGTTCCATTTGTGTTGAGGATCTTGAAAGGCCAGAAATGCTTAATTTTGCAACATCAAGGGTTGTTAACCACAAGTTGTCTACATACCTCTTGGTAGCTTTCAACATAGGCAGGGCAACTTGTCATCAAGAGGAAGATATCCAAATTGCAGAGTTTTTCATTGCCATTTATCAGTCTTGATTTCTTATAACATATTTGAGCACACTTAGTAACTGGGCCAAATTTAAACAAATGTTCTGTTCGGAAAGCTTAAGGAACAGAATTGTGTTCTGGTTTGGTCTGTGATTTCTCCAAAAGTGTGTTGCAAGATGGGGTAGCTTGTATTTCGCTGCCTGGCAGTCCTTGTG